CCCCACCACCCCCCAAGTAATTATGTTGAATTTATATACAAAGCTTCACAATCTTTGGTTTGCAGATAAAGGAAGAATGAGAATAGTAGGCTTGACAGGTGGGATTTCGTCGGGGAAGAGCACTGTGTCCAACCTCTTCAAGGCCCATGGCATACCTATAATCGATGCTGACCTCGTAGCTCGTGTATGTTTGTCCCTTTTTTCTTTAAAATTATTTCTACCCTCCTTTTCATGTATAATATACAACGAAAAGGAAAGGGATTTTGAATTTGACCATTCTTTCTACCCTCATAGTTCATGTAAGTCAGCAATATTATAGATCTTGCCTAAAATTTGAAATTAATGAAACCACCGTAGTTGAACTAATTAGAATGTTACTCTTATTCAAACAAGATACGGAACTTTTCATTAAATAAATGGAAAGAAACTAGTGCATATATATACGAACTCCAAAAGGAGTGCTAAAAAGCAAAAGTCGAACATAAATAAGCGAAAGTAGGAGTAAAAACAACATAAAACTAAGGAGAAGCAAGGAAAACATCCCAATTTTGATAGATATCCTGCAAGGAGATTCTATGAAATGATTTAGAAAGAGAGCACCACATAGACAACTTTAAACAAGCTGAATCGAATCTGTCTTAATTGCATTCACCCAAAGAAGGTTTACTTTTGGACTCAACAGGGGTTCGGTGGATCGGTAAGAAGCTTTTATGGATCGGTAAGATTTTCCTTTGTGATTCTTAATCAGTATACCAAGCTTTTATGGCACCCTTCAAATTTCTAAGTTTTGAAGTAATGACATATCCAACCCAACCATAAGAATTATCTTGCAAAAGAGTAGGCTCAATGAGGCTTCTGCAATCTGGCATACTCAAACAACTATGATAAAACGAAAAGGGAAGGACCCCAAGTTAAATTCCAGCTTCAAGGAGTAGAGGAAAATGGTCTGAAAAGGTTGAAATCTGTCTAGCCCTCGAGTTGATGAACATCACACCCCGCTCTTTAGAAACAATGAATCTATCAATGAGAGAGCATCTTTGTTACATGTTATTTTAATTGTTTTTCGAAACTTCTATAAAAGAAAACAAGAATCTAGAATATTACTTATCTTCCATGCCTTCACATTTTTTGAGTATCATAGCCTGCTTTTCACTATTTGAACATTTGCAGGATGTGGTGGAGAAAGGAACTGGTGGCTGGAAAAAGGTTGTTTCTGCTTTCGGAGAGGACATTTTGCTACCTAATGGTGACATTGATAGGCAAAAACTGGGCCGAATCGTATTTGCTGATCCTGGAAAACGGAAACTTTTAAATCAGTAAGAAAATCGAGCTTTAGATTTTGAGCCTTTATTGCCATTTTTTTTCCCTGTTTCTCGAACCCTTTGATCATGAAGGCCTATTTGTGGAATTGAAATCAATCTCATCACCATGGAACTATGATGAATATAGGTTTGGTATATGGAAGTATTATGCTTATGACCTTCACTGTTTAATTTTTAGAATACTCAATGATTGATTATTGAATTGCTAATTTGAATCAATTGTCTGCTGGTAGATTATTGGCTCCTTACATATCCTTTGGAATCTTTTGGAAGATTGTAAAGCTGTGGATGAAAGGTTACAAGGTTATAGTCCTTGATATCCCTTTGTTATTTGAAGCCAAGATGGATAGATGGACAAAGCCAACAATTGTCGTGTGGGTGGATCCTGAAACACAGCTTCGACGACTCATTGCAAGAGATGGACAGAGCGAAGACGATGCTCGAAACAGAATAAATGCTCAAATGGCATTGGATCTGAAAAGGGATAAGGCAGACATTGTGATTGACAACACCGGATCCCTCGATGACTTGAATGAACGGTTTCAGGAGGTGCTAACTGAGGTGACAAAACCCTTGTCTTGGATTGAATTCTTGTTTTCCAGACAGGGAGCATTGTCGACTCTAGTTATCGTCACTATCGGTGCTATCACTTGCAGAAAGTTTTACAACAATGGAGTTTAGGTATTTATGGCCATCCCTATACTAATCTGTTTAAAAGTTGTCTCCCATTACGATTACAATATATGGCATGATTTGTGTTATTGATCTCGATCATAGAATAACGTACTAGGAAGTAATATCTTTGTTGATTCAGATGAAGGTTGCTTATAATAATTAGGATGAACACATCTGCATCAACTGGGTTAAGCTTAAATTTAAAGTCTCGTTTATGGAACCACTCTTTTGGTCCTTAAAAGGGCAGTGTATGGGAAAATTTCCTATGCTACTATAGTATTTGTATTGCATGACATGCATTGGTGAACTATTTATGAAGGAAAATTTTGCAATTTCTAATCTGACTTGGGGGATTTTTAGTTGAGTTTTAATAAATTTGGTTACACAAAGCCTAGGCTTGAGGAGATTGGGTTTGTAGACCTAGAGATAAACAAACTCACCTGCCAACGTAGAACGGCCCGAGTCCACCACTAGTAGATATTGCCCTCTTTGGTCTTTCCCTTTCGGGCTTCCCCTCGAGGCTTTTAAAACGCGTATCCTCGCTGACACTTCCTTCAGGGCCCAGTATCCTCGCTGACACTCGTTCTCTTTTCTAATCAATGTGGGACCCCCCAATCCACCCTCCTTTGGGGCCTAACATCCTTGTTGTCACACTGCTTTGTGTCATCCTCCCTTTGGGACTCAGCCTCCTCATTGGCACATCGCTCGGTGTCTAGCTCTGATACCATTTGTAATGGTCCAAGCCTACCACTAGCAGATATTGTCCTCTTTGGGTCTTCCCTTTCGGTCTTCCCTTCGGTCTTCCCTTCAAGTTTTTTAAAATGCATATGCTAGGGAGAGGTTTTCACACCCTCATAAAGAATGCTTCGTTCTCCTCCCCAACTGATGTAGGATCTCACACAAAGCATCTTAGACCAATCAGTCTCTTTATGTGCAACGTTTCTTTTTCTTTCTAGATTTCAAGAGCTCTATAATTTTGTTCCAAGTGAGAATGAGAAAACACTTGTAACGTTATTAGGTCCAGAAGTTGACTGACAAACCAATGCTTGGCCAATTTATGTCCAGCATCATGTTATTCTCTATGTAGTATGAACTCAATGATGCTTCTAATATCACTCAATGCATTGCTGAGTGAACAATTTTGTCATCATTATACTAGTTGCCTATTTGACACTTTACTAGAAGAGCTTCAAAGTCCATCAATTTCTCCACCCACAACACTTCACTAAATTATTCAAGCATCTCCATTATAAATGGTAATCAATATCATTCATGAGCTGCTATGCTCATTCTCATGGCATATGCTTTATTTGAGATACCATATGCCTTATGCTCAATACAACATGCTTGTGAGTATGCAATGTCCCTATATACTTATTTTTGGGAATGATACCATCAAGGACCTAGTCCAAGTTGTGCTATAATATTTGGAAAGTAATCAAGAAGGATCTTGCAGCAAAGAGAGTACTATTGCTCAAACCACCCTATCTTAGGTATCTCGTGCATTGCAACTTCTTATATTCTTATCGATACTTATGTTAGTTTCCGTTTTATTGACAATTTGAGCATAACACAACTGGTTAAGATATGTTTTTGATAAAGTGTTTTCTTACTACCATTTGAGCAAGCATATGCGAGTTGAAATTATTATTGCTTTGATTTAGCTTTAAAAGTTCGTAGACCGTTATTAATAGTTCTTTTAGTCATGTTCTGATAAATCTAGAATCAGTGTAGCTAAGACCCCGTGAATAAATGAGGAAACAAAATTATGGATCTTTTTTTTTTCTTGTCTTCTTTTAGTATACGTGGTAGTAGGGATTTGAATTTTTTATCTTTTGGTTGTAAAATTATGTACTTTGTGTATGAACCGGTCAACTAGGTTTGAGGTATTTGGATACATTATTCCTCGGTTCGAAATGGTTTTGGTCACGTGCACTAGGAGAATGCCTAGCACTAATGTGATACTTTGCCCAATATCGTCTGATGCTGGAGTCACTCACGTGCCCGGAGTCGTATATTATTTAGTTTTTTAAAAAATAAAAAATAAAACATTTTAATTTGATCAAAATATATAAAAAGAAAAAAGGAAAAAGCACAGCATCTCTACTTTATTTCTCATAAAGCATTTACAACAGTGAAATGGATAAGATCAGAACCTACTTTCTAAGATTGTCTGAACGGGAAACAATGATATATATATATATACACACATACATATACATATGCTAAATTAGAGTCGAGTAATTATTTTTAATATTTTAATGCATAGAAATAAATATTTTTCAAATATCGTGCCACGATTGTTAAAATAAGTATATCTAAGTGCGATCAACTGAATTTTTGAATTTCTTAATATTCAAATGTTTAATCTTATTTAACCCTAATATTCCCGACTTAGTTAGTGTGGTCACGACATATCACCTTCACCCTCCACTCAAAAAGAATATTTTAAAATTCTTATCCAGGACACGGTGTGCGCGGGCCTCACCATAAAGGGTTTTATAAGAAAAAGTAAAGCTACCTTTTCTCTTTTCCCTTTGGCTATAAATACGGAAGCCAAAGATATATGTTTACTCTAATATCTCTCACCCTCTTCTTTTGCTTACATAGAAGATATGAAGGCTCAACACGTTTCTGATGATGATAGTAGTGAGTCGAGTCAAACTATCGGAGAAAAACTTGCTCGAGCTTACGAGAACATGAAGGTAGCCATGACGAAAAATCGAGGCATTGGAACGAGACGAAACCAAAAGGAAGATCCTATTAGAACCATAATGTTCTTGGGATCGTGGAGTCACACATGAACTAATTAGGGTTCGTCTCGCAAACTGTTTGTTCTTCAGAACTATGACTTAAATGGTTTGTCGATATTATAATTATTTTGTATATTAAAGTTATCAATCATGAACTGTGAAAGAAAGAATAACTTCATGCTTCGAAAAATTAAATATTAATATTATCCAAAAATTATTATGAAAGTGTTTTATAAATAAATATTTAATATCTTTTTCTATAGTTGAAGTTCATAATACACATTAAAATCATAAGGTATAGAAATTATTATTTTTATTACAAAATTGTGCTTATTTTTATAATAACATAAAAATTTATATTAAAGTTTCAATATGGAATAAATAGATTAGTTTATCATATACTTGTGATTTGACACATATTCTAACTCATAAACTATATATTAAAATTACAATATGGTCTACTTAGGGAATATATTAGCATCTATATTCTCTCAAAATTTTCAATTTTTTTTTTTTTTTACTTTCTCCCACCTTTTCAACGGAATAAACATTATACGTGCCATTTTCAATATTAATTTTATATATTTATTATTTTAAAGTTGAGGAACAGACGAAAATTGAGGGAGGAATTTTAAAACGAGACATTTAATGTTGTAATAGTATGAGTTTTTATTTCAATAATTTTAGAGTTATTTTCACAGAATTGAGGTATATATATATTTTACCGTCAAATATTGAAAAAAAATTAAAAATTATAATTTAATCACGCTTTAAAATATTCAGGGAGGAATGACAATCAATCTATTATAAATTTAAAAAATATATTACATACAAAAAATTTATAATTTAGTCACTATTATTTACTAATTTTCAATTTAGTCCATTATTTACAATAAAATTTATAATTTAGGGTAACGATTGAATAATGGAAATATAATAATAAATTAAATTAAAAAATGTTAATATATAATAAAATAAATAGAAACTAAAACAAAGAAAATATATATAATTATAAATAAATAAATAAATCTTGCTCAAAGAAAATAGCCCAAACAATGTACAGCGACTTTCATAAACGGATCCACTTCTCATGAGCCACAGTCCATCGCCCAAATCGAAGCCCATCAGATTCCTCAACTGCGATTTCATGGTTGCACCGATTCAGCGAGTAAAATCAATCCTTCTCGATCTCAGCTCATCCATTACAACCTTCTGCTGAGAGACATTGTCACTGGTCGCAATTCAGAAGGGATAAGCATTTTTCGCCTTGTCACCTGCAAAAATGGCGTCCGAATCCGAGCACAAAGCTACAATAATCGACGGCAAACAAATCGCTCAGACCGTTAGATCTGAAATAGCGGAGGAAGTGAAAAAACTCTCTGAGAAATACGGGAAGGTTCAATTTCCTGTGCTTGAACGTTGTTTTTAGAATTTTGATCTATTATTGTGACAAATTATGCGTTATATCTGTCTGGTTTTAGTATTTTTCTTGTTCATTATGGTGTGGGATTTGTGAAGGTTCCCGGGTTGGCGGTTGTGATTGTGGGGAGTAGAAAGGATTCGCAGAGTTATGTGAACATGAAGAGAAAGGCTTGCGCGGAAGTTGGAATCAAGTCCTTTGATTATGATCTTCCTGAGCAAGTGTCTGAGGCCGAATTGATCAGCAAGATCCATGAGTTGAATGCGAATCCGGAAGTGCATGGTTAATCTCTTCTGTGCTCTTATGCTTATGCTTACTTGATTTTTTAGTGCTGCACTACAAATTTGATGGAGCCTCCATTGTGTTTGAAATGGCATAGTGAAAACACCTCTTTGATAGATAAACGTTACTTGCATTCATTTTTCTGATGTGTGAAAAATGTTAATTAGAGATTTTTCCCTTTCGAAAACCTTGTAGTTTATTTTATGTGTGAGCATTTGAAAAACTCTTCAAATTGCATAAAAGTACTTTTTTTAGTGTTGTAAGAGTAACTTACCGTTAATAATTTGTTCAAAATTTTAATGCTTAGAGTTTTGAATTTTTTTGCTTTCACAGGGATATTGGTTCAACTTCCTTTGCCAAAGCATATAAATGAGGAAAAAGTTTTATCTGAAATCAACATTGAGAAGGATGTAGATGGCTTTCATCCTCTGAACATTGGGAAACTTGCAATGAAAGGCAGAGATCCCTTATTCCTACCTTGCACTCCAAAGGCAATAACAAATGTTTAATCTTCTGTTAATTGGAAGAGCAATAGCTCCTTATTTAGCAATGTTCAAGATTTGGTTTTATTCACAGGGGTGTCTTGAGCTACTGTCACGAAGTGGAATAAGCATTAGGGGAAAGAAGGCAGTTGTTATGGGGCGAAGCAACATCGTTGGATTACCAGTTTCATTGCTGCTCCTTAAAGCAGATGCAACTGTGACGATTGTCCATTCCCGTTCTGTCAATCCAGAAAGTGTTATCCGTGAAGCTGACATTGTTATTGCTGCTGCAGGACAGGCACAAATGGTATGCTTGGCTTTACAATCACTTGTTTTCGCTTTCCCTATACTTCTATTTGAATATCTTTTTGGCTTCACCGAGAATATAGACTTTGATTCCTAGGTTTACTTGAAAGCAAGCAATGCTATGAAATATGCTTTAGGTGCTAGAATAGTATTGGAAAAGAAAAAAAAAAGGGTTAGCATTGGAATATAATCCCTGAAGTTGGAGAATATAGACTTTGATTCCTAAGTTCTACCTATTTAAACTTTTCTTGATAAACACGCTAAGTCCATTTTGCCAATCAAAGGATGTTCCCCTTGGGAATGTCCAAAGGCGCCTGTTGGATGAAAGTCCCACATCGGCTAATTTAGGGAGTGATCATGGGTCTATAAATCGAAGAATACTATCTCTATTGGTATGAGGCCTTTTGGGGAATCCCAAAGCAAAGTCATGAGAGTTTATGCTCAAAGTGGACAATATCATACCATCATGGAAATCGTGTTTATCTAATGTGGTATCAGAGCCATTCCCTAAACTTAGCCATGTTAATAGAATCCTCAAAGGTCGAACAAAAGTATTGTGAGCCTCGAAGGCATAGTAAAAAATGACTAAGACTCCAAAAGAAAAGGAGTCGAGCCTCTATTAAGGGAGGCGTACTTTGTTCAAGGGGAAGTGTTGGATGAAAGTCGCACATCGACTAATTTAGGGAATGATCATGGGTTTATAATCAAAGAATACTATCTCTATTGGTATGAGGCCTTTTGGGGAAGCCCAAAGCAAAACCATGAGAGCTTACGCTCAAAGTGGACAGTATCATACCATTGTGGAGAGTCGTGTTCAATTAACAGCGCAATCCTCCTTCAATAGGGGTTTGTATAATAGACCACCTCCTGGCTACCCTTTTTGTCAATGCCTCCCTTCCAAAGGAAAGTCTTACACAACATCTCTATAGCTTTTGTGATTTTGGACAAGGGCGTGCCTTCCTCCTCCTGATATATGAGATGCCCTCCAATAGTGCCACCGTTTCTCCATTTTTTCATTAATTGGCGCCCAAAAATTCAGAGTGCCAAATAGGTAGAAGATCAGTAACCGACCTGGCAGCCAAAAGAAGATGTGACGAACTCAGCTTGCTGTGAATCTAACCCAACACCCAAAAGTTCCAATTTCTGACAATTAATATTTAGCCGAAGCTACCTCAATCGGAATTGAGGAGGTTGAGAAGAAGACTGGTGGGATTGTTGGGAAGACATGGCTGGTGGTGTAGGGGAGGAGAGAGGAAGTCGTGAGGAAACTTAAGCACAAGCATTAAACTCACCACATATCCACAAGTCCTCCAAGTTTGAGTAGCATAGGTAATCATAATGCTTCCATTTGGATCCAAGCGATCATAACAATCTTTAAAGAGACGTGATCTGAACTCCATTGCAGCAGGGCTGGTTGGAAGTTTGCAAAAACCTAGGTTTTGGAAGAAATGGGTAATGGGGATTTGAATGAAGATGAGTAAATGGGGGAAATAAAAATGGTGGGTTTTGTCCATAATTGCTACGTGTTTCTTCGGTTTAATGAAACGAATGGTTTCTTCTGATCGGAAGTGAGCTGGACTTTATTTTGTCCAATTATCTACGTTCTTCTATCTCTAGCTCCCACATAGTGTTGAATCAAAGTAGTTAACAATATCGATAAAACTAAATAGAATCATGGATCAAAGTTCCAGAAAGATGAAGAGGTTAAATATGTACAGAGACCTTAAACATTGGCAGAAACATTAAGAAACAGGCATGGCCATTGCAGGCCAGTAATATCTGCTAGTAGAGAGTATTAATTCTGTTAGCTTATTGATTTTGTTGGTTGATGTTAGATCAAGGGCAGTTGGATAAAACCAGGTGCTGCAGTGATTGATGTTGGTACAAACGCAGTTGATGATCCAACCAGAAAGTCGGGCTACCGGCTGGTTGGGGATGTAGATTTCCAGGAAGCTAGTAAAGTGGCTGGTTGGATAACTCCTGTTCCCGGTGGTGTGGGTCCTATGACTGTTGCCATGCTGCTTAGGAACACTCTAGATGGGGCTAAGCGTGTGATCGAGCAGTGATACCATACCCATACATACCAAGTGGCTTCATTGTTGTGTTTCTAAGGTCTTGCATATTTGAGAAGACAATTTTGTAGGGAAAATAAAAACCTTAATAATCGTGTGGATATCTTGAAGAATGAATAATTTTAGCTTGTTGAATGTTAAATATGGATCCTTGTGGGACTTCCTTAGAAATTTATAAATAAATGGTCTACCTATTTTGTGCTATGTTTGGTACGATTAGTTGATTTTGATGGCATTTGTCGGTTGGATTAGTACATTTAGATTAGGTTAGATTAGGTTAGATTAGATTGGGTCGGGTTGGGTTGGGTTGTGACGCTCTTTGGATCTAACTCAATTGATTTTTGCAATCCAAACAACTAACCCAACCCAATTATAAATGTATTAATTGAATTTTTTGAGTGATCGAGTTTTTTAAACACTCCTAACAATTATGGTTGCTGTGAAGTTAGGATGACATTTGACTTTATTCCGAGGACTAAAATGAAGTCTGCCTCAATCTTTAATGATTTCTAGGATCGGACTTGTTACCCAAATGTTGAAACGGATATTAATACTTCATTAACACTCGTAGAAATTCAATTTGGAATGAGTAATTGGTAGGAGAGCTAAGTTCTTAGGTCACAAAAGGAGAGAAGCTCTTGATTTTGCTGAAACACAGCCATTTCCTCCTCCTCCAATCTCACAATGGCTTCAACTCCCTTCCCATCTCTTGCATCCATCAACATAATCAGATTTTTGGAGTCAAAATCTGGAACAGTAATCCACATAGGCTTCCCCCATCCAAAATCTGCATCATATAGTGGAAATTTGCACCAGCTACTGCAACAGTACACAGCATGATCCCATCCACCACTTATCAGCCTATCCATTTTCTGTTTGGCATGCAATTTGTAGAGCCCATTCCATTCTTCCGCCCTGCACTTCTTTGGGAACTCCCTGCAGAAGTCTTCAAAGCTTCTCTTCATGTCTCCCACTATCTTCCATACCTCCATTTCCCTCCCCTCCTCCTCCTTGGTTGATGATGCAATGAAGTATGTGACTATGTTCCCTATTAATCTCTCTTCCAATCGTGGCTCCATTCGCCCTCGGATGTTCACCACCTGTAGTAGAGTCGACGTCGTTGGCCAATGGCCTTTTTTGTCCAAGAAATTAGCACAAAAGTTATCGAATGTGTATAGAGAGATAATAAATATGCATTCCAAGCGTTTTTCTTTCACAAAACTAGTACTGTATCTATTTAGTGTTCGAAGATTGTTGGGAGGGAGTTCCGTTGGCTATAATTTAGGAACTTGGCTATAATTTAGGGATTGATCATGGGTTTATCAGTAAAGAATACTATGTCTTTTAGTACGAGACATTTTTGGGAAACTAAGAGTAATGTCATGAGAGTTTATGCTTAAAGTGGACAATATCATACCATTGTGGAGAGTTGTGGTTCCTAACATGATATTAGAGTCATACCCTTAACTTAGCTATGTTAATAAAATCTTCAAGTATAGTCAAAAGTGACTCAAGTGTCGAGCTTCAATTAAGGGGAAGTTGTTCAAGGGCTCCATAGGCCTCAGAGGAGGCTCTATAGTGTACTTTGTTTGAGGGGAGAATTGTTAGCATGGAGAGTCGTACCAATTAATGAATTTATAAGTATGAAATATTTGGACAATTCAAAAGGAAAGCTGATTTAAACCAACTTTAACTCACCTTTGACTGAAATTTTAGCAGAAAGGGCAGCTTTGTAGATGAAGGCAGTGATCACCTGAACACGACTTGGATTTTCCACTTTCTCAGAAACCATAGCTTTAAGAGCTTCAATCTTCGAGCTCTCAAACACCAATCTCTTCAAACAAACCTTTTTACCTTCATCCCCAGATGGGTAACTGCCGGCATCCAATTCCGGCCGGAAAAAACTAGCCGCATTGAGCAGAGGACTGACTTCCGGCAGCATACCACCGCCGGAGCTACGAGCAATAGAAGCCCAATCATTCACAAACTGAGCCAATGACGCCAAATCCGCCACTTTATGAGAGAAAACCACAGACACCATTGCTCCTCCACATTCAAAATGGAACAACTGAACAGACAACAAAGGATTGAATGTTGGGTCTGTGTCCTTCCCATTCGTGTCATGTTCTAAACGAACCAATTTCAAAACCTCGTCGCTTTGCAGCTTGTTCATAAATTCCGACATGGGGCACCGGAGCTTTCCTTCTAAGTACATGGCGCCCATGTCGTTGCAGTCGATGAAGTTGCCACCCTTTTGGAGGCGGCCGGCAAAAGGGTAGTAGATCGTCAAGGCCTTTGAGAGGCCGTCCTTCAGGCCGCCGGAGTCGACGGTGTTGCCGCCGTCGTAGAAATAGAGAGGCATTATAGACATGTAAGGGGCATGTTGATCAAGCAAGCAGAGGGGGTAATTTCTAAGCTCCGATGGGGTTGAAGACGAGGGCTTGATGGTTTGTTTACACACAATTTCAAGTTCAACCATCTTTGTGAGTATGTTTGAAGCTCTGTTTTTGAGTTATGGCTGCATATTTAAAGTCCAGCAATTTTGATTATTTATTAAAAATTTAATTAGGTATAATATTAGATAATATATTATTTAAATTAAGAAAAAAATTCACGTGATTCACGTGATTATTTTTGCATTATATTATATATTTCAAAATAATAATAAATTAAAAAAAAATTTATCTTCTCACGTTATTATTTTTATTATTTTATTATGCTTAAAAAAATAAATAATAATAATAAATGTAACAAGTAATCCTTTGTTGGGGTTAGCACGTTTACAACAAAATTAGGGGACGTAAACTTTTCAAAACTGGGTTAATCAATCAGGTATCATAAAAAAAAATTACAATGATGATCACGTGATTTTGACGGAAATTTCATGAGGTCTATCGACCTGTTGAAAATTGGGTCAACCCCAATCTACATATATCATCGATTGTCTTTTTTCTTTTTAAAATTCTAAACATCAATTGTAACCTAAAATGACTTTTTTTTTTTTTTTTTTATCACAAAGAGTAACCCATTGGTGTGATTAGATGTGGAATTGTGGACGTTAATTGGTGGCATCATTGTGACCCATCCCTTTACGTGGATGCGTATGACTTTGAATATGTTTAATTATATGGCAAGGAAAACCAAGGAGTCACTTCTTTGCAATGATTAGAAAAATAATATCTCACATCTAATAAATTTGATTGTTTCTGCAATGATTGAGTTGGACTGCTAATTGTGTATAACATTATCTAATATTGTGTAAATTTAAGATTAGTACGAATAAAAACCAAACAAAGGGACGTAAGTGGAATTCACTCATAAAGTAGTAGATTAGTTCTTTTAACGATGATTTTTGGGATTTGAGCAATGGAATGTGCCGTCTTATTGACTTCGTCTGAGAGAGTTAGTTTATGCTTGGATCATAAACAAATTATTTTTAGTAGAGAATCTGTGGTACTCAAGGTTGAAGAGATCCCACATCGGTTAGGCAACGAAACATTCTTATAAGAGTGTAGAAATCTCTCGACGCATTTTAAAACTCTTATCCGAGTCACGGGCGTGTGCGGGCCTTACTGTAAATATATATATATATATATATATATATTTTTAAAAGTAAAGCTACTCTTCTCCTCCGCTATAAATATGGAAGCCAAAAATATATGTTCATCAAATATCTCTCGCCCTCTTCTTTTGCTTACATAGAGGATATGAAGGCTCGACACATTTCTGGTGATGACAATAGTGAGTCGAGTAAAACTATCGGAGAGAAACTTACTCAAGCTTGCGAGAACGTGAAGGTAGTCCTGACGAAAAATCGAGGCGTTAGAATGAGACAACACCAAAAGAAAAATCCTATTAGAACCATAATATTCTTGGGATCGTAGAGTCACACATAAATTAATTAATAAAATAAAATTTGAGAAATATTTAAGCACAAAAAAAAAAGAACAAAGTTCAGACCCGAACAATTTTAAAACTAGAAATTTAATAGTATAATGATACAATCTTTTATTTTTACCAGAGACATATATATTTTTACGGTCAAATATAGGAGATTAAAAAAAGTTATAATTTAACCTGACATTAAAAATGACAAATATAGGAGATTAAAAAAAGTTATAATTTAACCTGATATTAAAAATATTTAGAGAGCACATTAAAAGTTTAGAAATATATTATAAATTAAAAAAAATTAATTACTATTATTTACAAATTTTCAATTTTAGTTCATTATTTTTTAGCATTTTTCAGTCATGTTAAAATTTGACAAGAACTAATTGATAAAAAAAATTAGGGCAACGATTGAATTAAAAAAATAAATTAATGTAAATATAATAATAAATTAAATTAAAAAATGTTAATATATAATAAATTAAATTGAAACTAAAACAATGAAAATATATATAATTAAAAATAAATAAATCTTTCTCAAACAAAATAGCCCAAACAATGCATAGCTATCTTCATAAACGGATCCACTTCTCATGAGCCACAGTCCATCGCCCAAATCAAAGCCCCTCAGATTCCTCAACTGCGATTTCATGGTTGCACCGAGTCATCGAGTCTAAGATCGATCCTTCTCGATCTCAGCTCATCCTTTACAACCTTCTGCGAGAGCCGTTGTCACTGGTAGCAATTCAGGAGGGATAAGCATTTTCGCCTTGTCACCTGCAAAAATGGCGTCCGAATCCGAGCACAAAGCTACCGTAATCGACGGCAAGGAAACTCTCAGACCGTGAGATCTGAAATAGTGGAGGAAGTGAAAAAACTCGGAGAAATACGGAAAGGTTCGATTTCCTGTGCTTGAACTATGTTCTTAGAATTTTGATCTATTATTGTGACAAATTATGCATTATATCTGTCTGGTTTTAGTATTTTTCTTGTTCATTACTGTGTTGCATTTTTTAAGATTGGCACAACCATACTTGATTTAGATCAACCCAAAGAATATTTAGATGAACATAAAAGAACAGAGGAAAGAAAATGCGAGAATATTGGTTAAAAAATTTGGAGGGATGACTTCAGGCATGTACACTTTCTATATCATTTACCATATATAGTTTTGTATAACCGTTGTCTAAGCTCTAATTTGTGTCATGTCTGGTATCATTAGTTGATTTTGGTGACATTTGTGGGTTGGGTTGGATGACATTAGTTTACCATTAGTTGATTTTGATGGTATTAGTTGATTTTCATAATCCAACTCAAACCGTATAAGTTAAGTTGTATTGATTGGATTTTTCGAGTTATCAAACACTCCTAACAATTATCGTTGCTATGAAGTTGGGATGACATTTGACTTCATTCCCAAGAGTAAAATGAAGTCATCTTATGATCTTTTAGGGTTGGACTTGTTACCCAAATGTTCAAATGGATATTAATACTTCATAACAATCGTTGAAACTAGATTTGTTGTCCAAATGTACAAAGAAATTCAATTTGGAATGGGTAATTTAAATTTCAATAAATTTGAGCAGCTAGCAGCTAGGTTCTTAGCTCACAAAAGGAGAGAAGCTCTTGATTTTGCTCAAACACAGCCATTTCCTCCTCCTCCAAGCTCACCATCGCTTCAACTCCCTCGCCATCTCTTGCATCCATCAATATAATCAGATTTTTGGTGTCAAAATCTGGAACAGTAATCCATATAGGTTTCCCCCATCCAAAATCTGCCTCGTACAGTGGAAATTTGCACCAGCTACTACAACAATACACAACATGATCCCCTCCTCCACTTCCCAACCTCTCCATTTTCTCTTTGGCATGTAATTTGTAAAGCCAACTCCATTCTTCCGCTCTGCAGTTCTTTGGGAACTCCCTGCAGAACTCTTCAAAGCTTCTCTTCATGTCTCCCACTAAGTCCCATATCTCCATTTCCCTCCCCTCCTCCGTGGTTGATGATGCAATGAAGAATGAGAGTATGTTCCCTATTAGTTTCTCTTCCAATGGTGGCTCCATTCGGCTTCGGATGTTGACCGTCTGCAGTAGACTTGTCGTCGGCCAATTCCCTTTTTTGTCGAAGAAATTAGCACAAAAGTGATCGAATGTATAGAGAGTTTAAAATGCATTCCAAGCGTTTTTCTATCACAAAACTATTACGGTATCTATTTAGTGTTGAGGATTGTTGGGAGGGAGTCCTACGTTAGTTAATTAAGGGAATGATCATGGGTTTATAAGTAAGGAATACATCTCTAATGGTATGAGGCCTTTGGGAAAACCAAAAGCAAAGTGAACAATATTACACCATTGTGGAGGGTTGTGGTTTCTAACATAGTATCAGAGTCATGCCTTTAACTGAGCCTTGTCAATAAAATTTTCAAATATTGAACAAAGAAGTTGTGAACCTCAAATGTGTAGTCAAAAGTGACTAAGCGTCGAGCATCAATTAAGGGGAGACTATTTGAGGGTTCCATAGGCCTCAGAGGAGGCTCTATAGTGTACTTTGTTCGAGGGGAGGATTGTTGGGATGGAACCCCACGTTGGCTAATTTGAAAAATGATCATGAGTTTATAAGTAAAAAATATATCTCTATTGGTACGAGGCCTTTTGAAAAACTCAAAGATAAAGCCATGAGAGCGTATGCTCAAAGTGGACAATATCAACATTTAGTACCGTCAAACATACTTAATTTACGTCTTTTGGGGAAACCAAAAGCAAAACCATGAGAGAGAACTTTTATACTTAAAGTGGACAATATCAACATTTAGTACTGTCACACGCACCTGTCACTAAAATTTTAGCAGAAAGGGCAGCTTTGTAGATGAAGGCAGTGAGAATCTGAACACGAGTTGGATTTGCCACTTTCTCAGAAACCATAGCTTTAAGAGCCTCAATCTTCGAGCCCTCAAACACCAATCTCTTCAAAAAAACCTTTTTACCGCCTCCCTTTGCTTCAGAACCTTCATCCCCAGATGGGTTACCGCCGGCGTCCAATTCCGGCCGGAAAAAACTGGCCGCGTTGAACAGAGGAGTAACTGCAGGCAGCATGTCGCCGCCGGAGCTACGAGCAATGGAAGCCCAATCATTCACGAAGTTAGTCAAGGAGGCCAAATCCGCCACTTTGTGATAGCAAGACGCAGACATCATTGCTCCTCCACATTCAAAATGGAACAACTGAACGGACAACAAAGGATTGAATCTTGGGTCTGTGTCATTTCCATTTGTGTCATGATCTAAACAAACCAGCTTCAAAATCTGGTCGAGTTGCAGCTTGTTGTTCATAACTTCCGACATGGGACACCGGAGCTTTCCCTCTGAATACATGGCGCCCATGTCATTGCAGTCGATGGAGTTGCCACCCTTTTGGAGGCGGCCGGCGAAAGGGTAGTAGACAGTCAAGGCCTTTGAGAGGCTATCCTTCAGGCGGCCGGGGTCGACGGTGTTGCGGTTATCATAGAAATAGAGAAGCATTATATAATGGTTAGGGGCTTGTTGATCAATCAAGCAGAGGGGGTGATTTCTAAGCTCTGATGGGGTTGAAGATGGGGGCTTGATGGTTTCTTTACACACTATTTCAAGCTCAACCATTTTTGTGAATGTGTTTGAAGCTC